ATATAACCTCTGACTTAGCGTACGTGTAGGGTGACAATTGCGATACCGGTGCAAGGCCAGAGAAAATGGCGATTATGTGTTGTGGCCACTATGATACCGAAGCACTTTCGTACGGAATTCATAATTAAAAAAATGGATCCTAAATTTTGAAGGCTAAAATAGAGTCCACCACTCCCCTTTTGCTAAATTCTTTACATAATACTACTAATAAAAACAAATTACCCTTGTGACGCCAAAAGTGAAGTATGGTTATGTGTAATAATATTTCTTTATCTTAGGGATTACCTCTTAAGGTACATTTTGATCACCTCGAATTTACTTTTAGTTTATTTGTTGCTTTTTTTCTAAAAATGGAGTCTAAAAACACAAATTTTCGAATTACCTAATTACAAGAACAAATAAAAGTGAAAGTGGAAGTATGATAAGGAAAATCAATAGAATATTGATTGGTAATTTAGCAAATTTGTTTATGGAGGATAACTTCTTCACGTAAGTAATTGATTGCTAGAAAATTGCGAATTATCACTAATTGTTTAATTGCTCAAATAACTAGGGGAAGTTGAGCAATACGTGCTCTTTTGTTAAATGAGCTTTCTGATTGTCATAAGAAAATCGACTTAAGACCGTGAAAATCTTCTGTTTATTGAACTGTTAAAGAGAAGCATTTCGGCAACAGAAAGCCAAACAAAACTCTAATTTGTAATTAAGATAATTTTTGTCAATAAGAAAGATTTTAGGCTGTGGGTTATTAGTAGAGCTTCCAAATCAAGGGAAAATTCAAAACTGAAAGGAGAATGCAAGCATATGCATCGTTGCTCCTGAGAAATTAAAGCTGGGCACATATGTAGAACCAGAATAAAGATAAAAATGCTATTCAAGATTCTTATAATCACGAATATCAGTTATATATTGAATGAAATCGGACGAATAGTTTCATTCATTTATTTATTTATTTCAAGTGGCAGGTGTTAGCCCTTCACAGAGGGTAGGAATATCAAAGTGTGAAAAATTCGAGAATGGGGGCAGAATAATGATTCACAGATGTAAAAGAGACAGACAGACACAAAGGCAGAGAAAAGGTAAGATGAGTATTGTGGAGGTGGTTGAATATGGCATACAGTTGGGCCATGGTAGTTTGAAGTCAGAAGTCAACTGCCAGTTAATTGACTTCTTTGCCGTATGAGTGTACGTTGTCCAGAATGCACCACTTGGAGGTAAGTCTATCGCACACCCCATCAGACTAATAGTCAATTTCAGTTATCATGACAAGGAATAGTCCATTTCACATACAAGTTGTGAATGCTGGAATTCTTAAAATGATCTTTCAAATCCCTTTTCAGTTCTCAAAATCAATTTATTTTCAATCCAGGAATTCTGGAATATCTCTCTTTGGTTCTTGCTTGATTCGATATATATATATATATTTTTTTATATTTTCGCCTCTGCTTGACGTCTATGATAAACCCATACTGTAAAGCATAATCACTGAACTCGGAAATTGTTAATTACTGATTAATTTAGTTAACAGGCTATAAGATAAATTGTTAATCCACTAAGTAGGTACAATCCTCGATGGAGGGCGGGGGGATTGTCGTAGCAACTCCTTTAGTGGCGCACCTGCTTGTCATCCTACTCAAATTCCCATTTACTCTAATACACCCGGGAATCGAAAACTGGGTCGGGATGAAGTGGGGAAACATGGGGAAGAGAAGATAGTTAACTGCATGTAGCCCCTTGCCTCCCCTCGTGTATCACTTGAGAAAGCAAGAAGTCTCAAACACTAATTGATCGTAGCTCTGATGAAGCAGTTAGTTAATT